AACAACCCTTTTTATTCAGTTTGAATTAGTATTTAGCACTTTTATGGTAAATCAACAGGGTTGCCCGTACTTGAATAAGATACATGTTCGAGAAGTCTTGAGATTTCCTTTTCCCTAGTTTTGTTTCCTTTCACTGTGAACATTTCTTTTTTTTCGCTTATTCAGGCGAGACAGCGGTTGTTTCTTGTGTTTTCCTTTGATATTTGCGCGGGGAAATTAGGGTGCGGCCTGCCAGAATTGATCCTGTCACGCACGACTGACGTTTGACCGCTGTGTTATTTTAAGGCCCAGCCTTGTTACCATGCTGGTTTATACCGTAGCGGCTATAGATTCAAGGTACAGAGTCTTGTCATCATAACTAGATACGTGGTTCCTGTTTTTGGCAAAATTTTTCTCTGATTCTTGACATATGCTCCCAGACTACATCGAGAGGGTAGAACTATTTTTGTACCTGACCAGCTTCTAATGGAAGTAAATAGAGCTGTCAACCTTTGAGCATACTGCCAAAATATAAATGAGCTCGCAAAAATTATGGATTATTTCTTTCTACTTCCGCTATCCACAGAAGAAAGCTATTCGCCCTTTTAGAGAAGTGCCACTGCTGTTCCTCAACTACTTACAGTGGCTGTTATTGAAAAAGAGCTTGTTTACAGGTGAGATATGACAGGGCAAGCAGCATATGAATACCATATCTTTTTCCGATTTTTAATTGTCTAGAGTAGCTGTTTTTCCCGTGTTCTAAAAGATATGAAATCCTTATGAATAATTTAAGGATCCTTTCGATTATTTGAATTTATTCGAACGACTTTTTCAGCCCGTTTTAATTTGCTTCTCTCAGTTTCGTTTTACAACCAGCTCAGTTCAACAATTCCCTTCTGCACCAGAGTCAAGAATACATCCAGAACATTATACATTTTAACCTTTAAGTAGATATAAAAGGGGGACGCCGACACACTTTGAAAACAAAGTTGATTTCAAGGCAACTCGTAAATTTACACAAGTGAATAATATTCACAGTGTCTCGCTCGTGAGTTCTGAAGAGGGGTGAGAATATTATCAACAGTTTCTGAAGCATCAGAATTTTTTTTCAAATTTAGTTTCTTTAAGCTGTTTGTGACGCGTCAGAAACATTGATGTTTCAAATTCATTTTCTTCATTAGAAACAGTTTGTTTCAGAGCGAAAGAAAATTTTCAAATTTATTTTCTTCAAACTGCTTCTGACGTCAGAAACATTGTTTTAAATTTATTTTCTTGTTTTTGACGCGTTAGAAATTTTTCAAATTTATTTTCTTCAACTTGTTTCTGAAGCTTCAGAAACATTGATGTTTCAAATTTATCTTCCTCATCAGAAAGAGCTTGTTTCTGAGCGTCAGAAAATTTTCAAATTTATGTTCCTCAAACTGCTCCTGACGCTTCAGAAATTTTTCAAATTTATATTTTCGTCAACCTGTTTCTTTCAAATTTGTTTTCTTATTTCGGTCGGAAATTTTTCAGATTCTTTTCTTTAATTTGTTTCTGCAACAGACAAGTTTAGTTCTCTTTTTATATTTGCATATCCTTTGTAAAAACATGTCTTTTCAAACTCGAATCTTATTTCGTTAAGTTTACGAGTGATCGAAGTTTTTTTCGGAATCATCTCTGATCTGTTCTCTTATTACCTCAACGTCAGTCTCAGATGAGCTTCTTGCTTTATTTCTCAACCATTTTTTCAGGAAATATACTGCTCAATCTCGCGCAAAATTGAGTTGAACTCAACGTCAGAGATAGAATTATTTGCAATCGCCTTTGAAAACAACCTGCTGACTGACAGGTGCTTTGTCTCAGGGATTGAAATAGTTTTTCATGTTTTGTGATTTTTTTATCAAGAGTTGTTCCCAACGCTAAATGTTGATGTAAATCCCAAAAAGCCAGCTAAGCCAGCCGATTTAAAAATGTCCACTGAAGTAATTTGCGAAGCCTCGAAGGGGCAGGCCGCGGAGTGTTAAGCTTTTTGAGCCGAAGGCCGCAAAGGGACCCAAGTCCTGAAGGGGCAGGCCGTGGAGCGGTAAACTCTTCGGGTTGGCGGTATGCCAGGAACCGCGAAGCGGCCTAAACGTTCCAAGCAGACTGCTTATTCATCCAATAATACCAAATGCATTTAGGTTGAAATGAAGTTTCTCATTACCGACGTGGCCTTGGCAAATAAAAGAAAATTAGATCCGTTTGTCACACAAAGGCTGTGACAGGAGTAACATCGGCTGTATTGTCTTCAAGCGGTACGACGGTTTCTCTGAGTAGAGTGGGATTATTGAGGGAGCACCCATAAATTATCTCTAACTCAAACCTCAAAGGGAGGCCATTGATTCTCTTCGGTCACGAAAATTCGCAGAGATTAGGTGTAATTCCTTGGTGATATTTTTCGTTGAGTTGGGACTTCAGAATAATACTAACCCTGTCACAGGGTTGCCCGAAGCATCCAAGAACGCTCGAAAATTTTCCTTTGAATATTTTTTCATTCTTATCCAAAAGATCACAGCAGAGAAAGTGGTTGGTTATTGATTTAAACCTTTTGGATTTACAACGTCGTTTAATTCCAAGAAGATCAACCAGGTCATTGGCAAGAAGGATATGCGGATATTTTGAGGATTGTGGATTTCCAATACTCTTTTCGGAGTAATCATTTCAACATTCACTCTAGTCACTCCTCCATGTATATTAAAGAGCTTGGCCAAGGCTTTTGAGTGAATAATTACCTTCAGGAATTTTCTTTTTTGTCGGAGTGCCTTGCGCATTGATTACGGAGACTTCATCAGGACGACTTAAATTATATCAAGTGTTGAAAAAAGAACAGCTTACTGGTCTGATATGTTGATATTTTTCGTTGCGTAACGGCTCTTTGAAGTGAACTGTGTAACCATTTAAATTTGCAATAACTGTCAAAACAACCATTTTGATTATAAAAGCAATAGAAATGTTTAACTCTTTGAGTTCCGATCCCGTTTGGGGTTTGCGTGGTCAAGATTAGATGAAGCGAGTAAAATTGAAGATAAAGCAAGGAGAAAAGCTTAGAATGATTTCAGAGCACGATATCCAAATGTAGACCTGAGTAAGTTCAGTGCGCCGGCAAGTGTTGTTTGATTACAAAGACAGATAACAGCTGAAGTATACTTCAATCGATCACATCAGTGGAGTTCAGACGAGTGTCTCAAGATCAGACAGAAGATATAGGGATGATGACGTGAAGAAGGCACTTGTAGTTGGAGATTTCCCCCTTGAACTCACTCGGAGCCGAGTAGTGAAGAAGGAGGTGCCGGCAGTTCCATTTCATTCTTTGTTGCCCCAAATCAGTACTTCAATGCAAAATTCAGAAGAATATTTACAAGAACGAAAATTCAGCACTCTACAGGCCAGGCGCAGGGATGGCTTGCTGGGCGAATATGAGCTACTGGCCTCAACTTAACTTCGCAGTATGGTACGCAACGACAGGCTGTGGAACACAGCGGCCGAAACTAAGGCACGCGCAAATGAGGTCAGTTTTTGGCGCCAACCGCGCTCCACTTTCCGGAGCAAAAGCCCAATGGAAAATTATAATAAACTACCACTGTCACATTGAAAAAAATTCTGATGTAAAAATGAAAACTAGAGACTCTTCGAGCACAAAGTTTATTTAATTACATGCAGGTTTTCTTTTCACATTGTGTTTTAAATGTTACAAAAAAGGATAAAGGTCTGAACTCTTAACTCTTAACTAGACGATTAGAAACGAACAACGATCCAATCACTAACCTTGGATGACCGATCGTATAACTGGAAATAAAGATCTAAGGCTTCCGATTTTTTTTCTATGTCGAACCTCCTCCAAGATTTGATTTGCTGAGCTGTAAACATTATCATGTTCTAGTAAGATAATTTACAGTTAACCGCTGTATTGATGATGTAAATTGTTCACTGTAAAATGTTTCTAAAGCTGACTTTTCTAACATTACCCCTTCATCAGAGCTAGGAGACATGTTTCTAAAGCTGACTTTTCTAACATTACCCCTTCATCAGAGCTAGGAGACATGTCACAGCAGTCTGATCCGTATGCTTTCAGCCCTACGGGGACCGTTACTCGACTCAACTTAACGTTTCGTGTTTCAGGACTGTTTGATTTCTTTGATTGCTGATCTAAAATGCTTCTCTAACTTGATTCTAAATTACACAAAAGAATATCGTTTAAAAATACTAAATGTTCGTTTGCTAAAGTATTTTTGCTCCCCAAATTTTCTACAAGCTTCTTCAGTTCAGATTTAAGTGTAAACGTTTGTTTTCATGGCAGGTCAAAAGAAAAACGGTGCCCAGCAAAATGGATTTTAACTCTTGGAACAGTTTCTGGGATATATGTTTTGGTGTATTGGTGACTTTGATCATTGCAGGGAATGTTCTCACCATCTGGATATTCTTCAAACAGAGACGCCGAAAACGCACTTACTCTCTTCTCATGAGCTTAGCAGTTGCCGATTTGCTGGTGGGGATTTTTGCTGTCCCTTTTTATGTAAAAGCAGTTGTATCACAGGGATATACATGGTACGTTATTTCCATGGGTGCTGACGTTTTCACTGGCACAACGTCCATCTACACTCTTGCGGTCATTTCCTTAGAGAGAATGTTCGCCGTCGGTTGGCCTGTTCGTCACAGAACTCTGAACTGTCGTCTGTACGTCTGCGCTATTAGCATACCGTGGATCATAGCGGCAATATTTACTACTTCAGTGGTGTTACGGATGCTTAATATAATAGGGAGGGAGAATTCCTTGTATTATATTGTTTTAATTTCTGGAATCCCTCTGATAGCTATATGTGTAGCAAACTTTGTTGTTTGGAAGAAGCAGAAAATGCCATTTCACAACCAGAATCATATCAAAAGAGAAGTGAAATTGGCGAAGACACTAGCTCTCATAACGGGAACATCGCTTTTTACCTGGCTTCCTTTTCAAATTCTAAATATTTTGTTTGCATTGAAAGTCACACAAAATTTTCACCTTATTGAATTAACAACATTTATTATCAAATTTTTACAGTTTAGCAATTCGTTTGTGAACGTGATAATTTATCCGTTCAGAATCCCACAATTTAAGCGCACGTTATTCCAGATACTCAATTTCTGTGTAATTCCCTTTGAAAGATCTAGAAATGAGGTATCTCCATCAACCGGGACCGGGTCAATTGTCTCCTTGATAACGTTTGATAATGCGACCTTTTCACCATCCAACGTTCAACAGGAAAGTTCACTTTAGAGTCTTAATCCACTCAGAAACATAAAAATGTAAAATATATAATATATGTGAAGATATATATTTATGAAGAGTGGAATTTGTTAAAATTTTGAAACTGGTGTCATTTACGAAGGGCATAGGAACCTCTAACCCTTGCGGTTCATATAATTTTCAGTCATTGTTGTTGCTCTGTTACTGCCGGTGTGTGCTACATGACATAGATTCAAAGGAGTATATTTATGCTTTTCTACTTTTTGTTTACCAGTCGACGAGAGTAGAAAAACAAAACTTTTATTACCAAAAAAAACAAATCTATCATCGGTAAAAACTCTACATTGCTACTGAACAAAATTGATGGAAAAAATTGATCATGAATTTAAAATGTTCCTTTTCTTCTGTCACAGGCGTGAAAACCTGCGTCCAGCAGTGCACATGCTAGACGCACGTGCTGAACGCTTGAGAGCCTAATCCTAGTCTAACGTGCTCTTATCCTTGGTTACTGCTCGTAACATCACAATATGTATCGTTTGCTGTCCAAGCTGAAACTACTCCACTAATTTATCCAACGCGTCTACAAATTCCAGAACATCAAACACAGTGTCCAGTTTAAAATCTGTCCTCACTGATGAATAGAAGAATTCTGGACACTGAAATTAAAACAACATGACTTGTCAGACCCATTGAGCTTGCGCACTGAACAAGACAAGTCTGAACATGAGCAATGAACAAGAACTAAATGGAGTTTAGGTTGAAAATCAATGCTCTGGGATCAGGTAATTTATACAACTTTTAGGGCGACAATGAATATAATATATGAAATATATAAAATAAAATCCTTTGATCCCCAAAATAATGACCTGAAAACAACATTTGAAAATCAATGTTCTAGAATCAATATTAAGGGCAAAAATGCATATAATTAATAAAGCAAGATTAAACAAAATCCTTTGATCTCTTGAATGATGATCTGAAAGCAACATTTATCAGAGAAAATGTTAATTCCCATCCGAAAAAGGCGTAGTGCGCATAATTTTAATGGAAAATTTCAAAAACTAGTTTTTTGACGACGAAATGGCGGTCGATCCGAAACAGACACGGCTACCATGTTACAACGTTGCCTGGTGTCTCTAACAACGTTAGAACAGTGATAGAACAGCGATAATGGCACCAGGTACATAAAATTAAAACTGAATCGTTTCAAACGGGCTCGAACGTCGCAGAATAGGGACACAATTTTTGATCAGGGTATTTTAAATCAGCGTATGTATGTGAGAGTCACGCGCGAAGGGAGAAGGGCCGTCATTTAGCAGTGACTTGTGCCCCCGCCTTTATTAAAAATATGCACTCTTCTGCCTGCTTAGGAACACACAACCCCTACCTCTCTTCTAAGATCTTGCAGACGCAACAAAATTTGACCATTTAGCCTTTTTAAAGTGTTGGAATCCAACCTAAAAAGCAAATTGTTTCAGAAGCTAAAAACGTTGATTTGCTTTATAGTGCCCCTTTGTCACCAGTAGCAAAAGTTGGCAAAAGTGAAAAGCAAATATTAGCGAAACCTCAGCCTCGTTCCAAGCTCCAAAGAACCAAGAGGAAAGAGCTCAGGAGGAAGTTTTCGAAAGCTGACGTAATAGCTGGGGGTATGCCACTCCATTTCATTTCCCAGGGGAGAGTAACAATGCTCAACATCTCTTAACGCTTTGGGAATCGGGATAAGAATAAAAAACACAGTACTATTCACCTGTCTCTCAGTCCAACATTCTTGAGCCAGGTTTTCACATCACTACACGTCCACGATCTGATAGTAGACTGTGGTGAGGCGTCAACAACATCCAGAACTGTGGCTACATAAAAAATAAATAAATAAATAAATAAAAAAAACAGAAAAGAGAATAAATCAGTTGTCGTCTCTAGGAGTTGGAATTGTCTGGGCATCTGACGGATAATTACCTAATATAACGAGTAGTCATAAAAAGTAGTTCCTTCAGACATATTCTGATGCTACTCTGGTCTGAAGATTTAATGAATGTAACCGTGAAGTTACAATTCATAGACCCAACGTTTCGACACTCTTGTCTAGTGCCTTCATATTCCAGGCCTCCAAACAAAGGCGCTGTGGTGGTAACGCCGATTAGTGGTAATAATTTTAGACTTGCCCCACCCAATTGTATGGTTAGTTAGGCATGTGTGCTCGAATAAAGCTGAATTTTCTTGTTTGCAAAAGAAAACCGCTTTTTAATGCTCTTTCAAACGTGTACCGAACTGACGTTTGGTCCGTCCGATATAATCGTTATCGCAGTCATTGTAGGGAATAGAATAAATGGCGACGGTTCGTTGTTCTTTCGTTAGGTTTGGCAAAAATGTGCCCCAAATTCTGAAAAGGTTTTTGAGTAACTTTAACGTTGTGGCTATTCAAAATTATCTGGATGGGTTCCGTAACACCCTGAATGCAAGGAATAACTACAAAATCAGTCGCTGGTTCCCTTTCATCAGGAGTGCTACCAGTTGTAACTGATTTTTGGCAGTTACGGAGAAAAGGTTTCGTATAGCCATTCGCCTTCAGGACATTAGAGACATATTTGCTCTCCTCAGCCTTCGAATCGAGTGAAGATGGTAGACAGTCAGCCCTGGTTACGATCATAACTCAAACGACCAAGTAAAGCAGTTTTGGTTTAATCATACCTTTCACAGTATTTTCTTGAAGTTCAATTTTTCCCCTGGTCCCCAATTCTTTCACAAGTTTGCTCACATTAGAGTCCAGTTTATGTTTTTCGCTGAAGTCAATCCAGAATTTGGATCCCACAATGAAGCCGAGCCAACCATCAGGTCTGTATTTACCATCCATCATCAAAGGGATGATGTCTTTGTGAAGCTGATATGTGTACTCTGCCTCTACATACATTATTAAACGAAATACAACTTCGTCAAAAACTCCAGTATAATTATTGTCTAGTTATCTCTAGGGAATGTATTCAACGTGTTCAAATACCTCCAAAGGATTGGCCAAGTTGGAACCAATGGAGGAAGACAAAGGGTGAGACTACAAACTGGGGCTGGGTAAGTCTTTTTTAACGAGACGTCAGGTCTTACATTGTTAGCATGGAAACAAGATTTTCTATGCTGCATTGCACCCTTCCTTCTATCATTTGAACTCCAGATTTTTTCAATGCCCTAATATCAGTCTTTTAAACTGGTTTCGAACAATCACAGCTTAACAAGGAGTATTCAAGGGGAGTAGTGTATCCACCTCGCATTCCCCAACTTCCTTTCATCATTTGGACTATCTAAAAAATCCTCTACGAATTTTTTTGAAGACTCGCATTCAGCTTCGAATATTGAAATCAGCTCAAACTTATAAATGTGATACCGAGTTCCTTCCATTAGCTTCCTTTGCCTCTCTCAGTAGTCCCTCTGGTCTAATTTATGCGTTGTTGAGAAAATATAACATTGCCATGCGGCCTGGTGGGTCTGGGCTATTTTCGTTTCTAACAAAGAGTTGAGGCTGTGGTGGAAAGCGTTGAAGACGTACTCTGATTGGCTACTCAACCTCCGAATATCCTTTCCTAATCACCTTCCAGTAATGCACGCAGGATTTGTGCCCGATAATATTGTAATCGTTGTAGGAATTGTTTTGCAAGTACAGGCTAACCACAATTCTAAAAAGCCGGAAAAATGCTAAGATTTCTATTATCGATAATGCTATATAAAAAGATCCTGCGAACGTTGCGAAGCAGTTTTCATCATTACCTGATCGACAGTTAGGACTCTCCTTGTATTTCTGAGACACACAGACTAATATCACACTTGCATTTTCCACAGCCTTGGCCATACTTTCCAGAGTGGAGCCACCCATTTCATCGATGTCCATCCAAACCTTGAAGCCGTCCGCCTGAAGTTTGTTTTTGATCTGAATCACGAGCTTTTGTACATCCCATTGGTAACTGATCATTACGTGCTTGGCGTCTAGAGTGCACATTAAAGAATAACAACAGTAATGAATTATATCATACCTTAATTGTGTTCTGATTTCACCTCTTCGATCCTACAGTTATTTCTATTACATAAGCATTTCACACATAATCAGGGGGAAATTTCGTTTAATTATAACCTGCGAGCAGGCTTCATTATTAGAACTTCAGCATAAATGTTTTTTCACCCGTAATAAAATGTGAGCAACGCAGCCGGCGAGAGTGTGGGTCTGCAAGGGGTCAAGTGCCTCTTTATATTGGAGCCAGACTTCTGGCTAACCTCAAATCTCCTCGCCGGCGCGGCGCGTCCATCAGTGCTGATAATGAGGACCTACTCGCAAGCTAGTTTTATTAGGGAGAAATTTCGTTATACAAGGTTATTTCTGAGTCTATGAACACCATCATTGTAGTCGAATTGTCATCCCAAGCTGCGCATACTCACCTGACTCTTTAACTGACTGTTGTTTATCCTCTGCATGTTTTTCTTTTCCTTCGATTTCCCACAATGCGCCAGCAGCAGCTTTTTTCACTTCATTGTTAGTCGATGTCAGAAGTTTCTGTAATTCTGCTGAGGCATGCGCGTCCTTTTTGATTTCTTTCTTGTTTTCCTCGTCGAACGCCAACGTCCACAAAGTGTTACAGGCATTCACTCTCTCCTCGTCATCTTTGGCGTTTTCAAGCATCTTGACTAGAATTGGAATGGCTCCAGATCTAACAATCTAACAATAAAGTGATATTTATCGTATAAATACTTAAAAGTCTGAAGAAGCTGAAATCCATAGAATGTTTAAAGTTTTCATATACACCAGTTCATCTCAGTCACGAACAAGGCCAAGTTAAAGGATTCTTAGAGAATGATCTGGTCAAACCCCGCTGAGTGAAAACCTACAGATCCGATCAAAGAAAACCTAGCAATGATTTTCAGATTTACAGAATTTGTTTTATCCTTTCCCATTTCGACTGAACGTCGTAAAACTAAAACCAAGTAAATCAGGAAAGCCGGTTACAATAAAGGAAGATATTTCAAATTTGTAGGTAAGATTCTTTATTCAAACACGATGGGAATGAAAGCATTACGTTTTTAAAGAGTCGCGTAAAAGAAGCCAATTAGGACACAAGGAAAAACCTATTCCTCTTCCCAAGGGGCTGGAAAATGCAATTGGTCTCTTAGGTATTTAATTATTTTTTTATTTTTATTAAACGTTTTACACCCTAACATCGGGCAACATCATTACACATATTCTTCATACTGTTCTCTGTACATTTCCTTTGGTGCTGGCAAGGAGAATTTTTTTAACAATCAAAACTTTTTAGTTTTGTGGTCATTTCCTTTATTCTCATGATCTCAATCGGAAAAATCATGATGAGGAGTTAAAGGGTTAAAGAGTTTTTGCTTGTAAAGCGGCCAAGAAGAGTTCAAGGCCATTTAAATGACACACGTGATCGCCTGGAAACTTTGTAGCATTGCCTTAAAATTTCCCACTCCTCTAAAGTACTCGTAAGTACTTTTCGATTGAGCGTGGTAAAACCAACGTCGAAGTAGTCACAAAGGAAAAACCGAAAATATTCCCATCACGAAGCCACTGAGAGGCGAACACTGAAAATTCCTCTAGTTAAAGATGTACGACTTAGGGTTGACGAAAATCCCCAAAACAACGATATCTAAGAAAATAAATGATCAACTGCTAACAGTTACCGTTTTCTTGTTGTTATCGTTGATTGCAATTTGCGTCAGTCCTTCAGCAAGTTCTCGGGCAGAAAATCCTAGATATCTATGGTAATCTGTTTCTATGGCCTTTCTCAGCAATCGTATGAGAAAATTGATTGGTTCTGAAATGAGACTGTTAAAGTTGAGATGCAAAATTTAAAGTAAATAATTATCATATATTAGACAGCCACTTTGTTTAATTTTCATTTAGCACGAACTTGTTCCAGGAGTTAGACATAAAACCGGAAGAAACAAATTTTTAGTTGAAAGGTGGGAGAATAAGTGATGGTTCGGAGGGGGAGGAGGTGGGGGTAGGAATGCCGGATTACACTTCAATAACAGAGGCGATCCGTAACCAAATGGCAAAATTATTTCTTCCATGTAATAATAAATTTAAATTTGTCTTAGACATACATTAATCCATTTACACGACTGATGAAATCGAACGACTAGGGACAGAAACATTCGCCTTCATTTAATTGTTGCGAAAAAAATTCATAGGCAAATCTGCGGGATGGAGAAAACAATTTTCCATTGGGCGAGGTTTAAGGAAACTTTGAGATTCAAGAAACAGTAATATGATTTCCAAGGCAAGTTTGAGAGCCTAATTTTGCTTTTTATTACACCCATTTTGAAATCAGTGGTGGTTCCTGTAATCTGATTGGCTCTAATTGATGCGATTTATTCACGAATCGCACCATTTTTCGCTTTTTAAATCGCATCTTTTCCCCAGCCAACGAGGAGGCTACACTAAAAACAAAACAACCAATCAGATTTTAAGGCTTGTTTAAAGTAACCGATCAAATTGCAGGAAAATGAAAGACAAAGAGTATCATGTGGCAAATTTTGCAACTTTTGTTTCTTAACTCTTACTTTTTCCCCCAAAAAAATGGACATGAATTTAATTTCAGACCGGCTCAGTACTGCATAAATATAACATTTGAACTGACCAAGTCCTGTATTTGGGCGATTTCAAAACGGATGCAATAAAGTGGTAATTGAACCTCGTGTCGTGCAATTTTGGTCTGAAATCATGCGTATGACGTATGATTTCAGCCCAAATTGCACTCCACTCAGTGCAATTACCATTATAAATAGAGGCTATAGTATTTATCATCTTTCAAATGTTTGGTGGCACGAGAAAGAAAAAGGGCTTTTACTGACAGCTTACTTATAAAAATTTTCATACCTTCATCCGCCATGATCAAATGGTTATTTTGTTCATCAATCAGGTACGCCAATATAAGTAGGCTCTTAGCACTGTAAAACGTGATTTCAGCTTTAAGAAGTGGCAGAAGCAACGAGTTCACCGCCTGGGCAGAAGTAAAGTTTGCCCTTGTTGGTACACGTTTCGAGAAATTGTGAAGAGTCCCCAAGCTCCTGGACAACATTTTTCCCCGCACTGTGAACTTCTTTAGACGTTGTGTTTTAGGTTCCTGTTAAAAAAGATGGAAGCACTGGTAAATACATGATTCCTTGTAGCAGGATTTAACCTCTAAGTGTGCCTTGCTCTCAACGTATGGTTCCGTAGCTCAGTTGGTAGTGGCGCCTAACAAGAGGCATGGGTTCGAAACCCGTCGAAGCCTGTAATGAGGGCTTCGATTATGTTGATAAAGGCAAGGCGCTTACTGTTATAAGCTTGATCTCTGCCTTTCTCGGATCCGTCAGATAAGGAGCTTTGGTTGAGAAGCGCGGACTCATTTTCCGAACAATGGCTGGCAAGCGAGCGTACTACTGTTACTTTGGTCTCTTAAACAAGAGTGACTAATCCAAAGAAAGACGTAAAGAATCAATTGGTACAATAACTATTCCGTGTCATCGTAAGAACCCGAATAAGCCATAACACCCTCTTAATCAAGATCCCTCTCAAGTGAGTTCCAGTCCTACCCCTCCCTCCTATTACCCATTTATCAACATTTATTGCTATTCGCTCTGGCTTGATAGCGGAAGTACAAATATACTTGCACATGTATTCAAAAGCCTATATAAGTTTCCGTTTTCATTAATAGTTTTCAACGAGAAAAATGCTTTTTGTAATTCAGTATTATTTAATTCATAATGATGATATTTACATTATATTTTACTACATAACTGTACTTACTACATATTTCACATTGTGTGGAATCGAATCTTGGAGTTCTTTGGACATCTCCACAAAAAGCTGAACCATACCGACTTCATTACACTCCAAGCAAAACTCGTCATGTAAGTCAGAATAATTCAGAAGGGCTCCCAAAAACAGGCAGATATTATCTTGCAATAATTCTAACGGGTTCGATGTCTTCTTGTCATTTTTCTCAGATTCCTAGAAAATAAAAAGAAAGTTTTACAAGGGTGCTGCAAGTTTTGAGGTTAAGTTTGACTGAAACATCTCATATCCAACAAGACTTGTGCAATTAAATTATAGTCTCACTTGAAAAATTTACATATGTTAGAAAACACACTCACCGATCCATGATTCCTGACAACACTCATACAAAATATTTACCTTGTAAAAATTCAAAACGAAATAGGAAACAAAGAGAAGGATTTTTTGAAGAAATTTAATCTAGCCGTAAACTTAAATTTGGGAGTGTGATAGAGTTAAAAAAAACTAAAAAATTATTCCATGAGGGCCATGGGAAAGGGAAAGGTTTCAGAGGAAATCGTCAGAACCCCATTCCTTGCCTGCGGGAGACATGACGTGGTTACCTGAGTATGTCTAACAGCGAGATACCGTTGCTACGCTTCGCACGACCTGCACGTGCCAAATGAATCACTACATGTGAAAAGAGATGAGAAAAAAAAAAATGATATACCGTTTTCTCTGCATTCGCTGACGCTTCTTTCTCCTCAGGTTGTTTTTCTGTACTTGTTTCTCTATCCCATGTTGATAGTTCTGGACAATTATTCCTTCGATCAGTGATGATGTCGTATGCAAGCTTTGGAAGACCTAGGCGCACAGTGAAATCTGTTAACACAGCTTTCGCCGGCTTGTGCTGGTTAGTATAACCACTGAAAAGGCCTTTTATGTGTTCTTCTACCTCTTCTGTCGCTAGAATTCCATTAGCGAACGCTTCTTTCAATCCCTTGTAGTGATCTCTTGTCTTCTTCAACGCTTCTTCAAGTTTCGGATTTTTTTCAATGAATGAAGTTAGTATCATGCTTGACTCGTCCTCGCCGACGTCTTCTCCTCGATTGTGTTCATCATCGATCGTTGTAGCGATTTGTTCTTTTAGCTTTGCTAAGCCTTCGCTTACTGCCACGGTTTTGACGTTGTATTTACCCGATGTACGTCTATCTTCCATGTCTTCGTTTTGAGATTCTGTTGGCTCCAAAACTTCGCCGTGGTTTTCCGCGTTCGTGCCTTTTATTTCGATATTGTTATTGGTTTGAACAGTGCTAACTCTGACGGAATCAGTGGCTACAACCCGAAGATTTTTTCTTGAGCTTCCAGCTCCCATCTATCAGCACGTTTGTAAATTAATAACTCCAGTGATAGTATTAACATTGAATATTTCGCCTTGCAATACCGATCTTTCTAGTTCGTGATCACTATGTATATTTTTTCGACAATTAACATATACTGCATGTTATCTTCTGGAGCCATGCAGCGTAACCATGGCAATTTTGTTTGTGCGTTCAACTAGGATTTCATATTTTAAGGATTTTTTTGGGTGATACTTTTTATACCAGTGGTAAATTTATTTGAAATTATAGCAACAAGTTAAAATATGTACTTTAGCGAAGTCCTTAAGTGATTTTCAGTCGGCATGACCCAAAAAAAAAAAAAAACAGATGAGTTTCCATGCTGAGTATTAACATCGAAGAAATCACTCAACCGAAACGTAAAAACAATGGTTGAAAATCGTTCGACAAATATGTATCCTCACTGTACTGCTGTATGTAAGTACCGTTTGAAATCAAGATAACAATTAAAACGGACAACACATTACAGCGTTTTTTTGTTTCTGACGGAACATTTTCTGTACGCGTGTTCAATTAATTAGTACGTCTATCGTGGTCATTCTGTGAATGACGTTATTTCCTGGTGCTAGAAAGGAATAGAGAAAAACGAATAATAGCAGGTTTGGGTAGTGACGTCAACTTAAAAGGGAAAAATAAAGGTAACACTTTGTTTTTTATAATAGTCATGATGACACTAGGCAAATTTTAATAATCTTACAAAAGGATAATTAGCAAAACTCATTTCCTTCTTATCTACTGCAAGCAACTCGATTTAGAGCGTGCACAGTGGTTTAATACCCACTCAAAAGTCAATACCTGCTAGCCTGAGCTAACAAGTGTAAAGTTTTAGACTTGCTAGTGCCGTACGTGAAATAATAAACTATAAAGATAATGTCACTTGAAGAATGGTCAATGATTACTGACTTGCATTATATTAATCCCTCGTGACTTGTTAATTCATCGTTTAAAAGGCTCCTAGATAGCAGATCACATTTATCAGCTGAATTTCGGCCTGTTCACACGCCTCTACTCCTCAATTAAAATTGGGGAAATTATACCCAATGAACACCTGTAGCGGAGTATGAGTCCTCTGAGGAACAGCAAGAAAGGCTGTAGTGCAAAAAATGACGTGCGCTTTCCAGAACTAATCTTACTGCACCGCAGTTTAAAAGAAGAAAAAAAACTAAAAGCGACATTTTAATTTCAACTACTGTAGCAAATGGAGAATATTTTCTACACGATTCCCCCATTTAAAGTTACAAATGGTTATTACCCCGAGAGCTTCGATCGAGGCAATTGTTTTAGTTTCATTAAACATCAAGTAATCCTACGTTTCTAAAAGAGCTATTGAACTATGGCGAGTGAACTGTTAACTGATAAAAGTAGGTAAAATTGACTATGGAAGAGATGGTTTTGCAATTCCTCAACGGAAGAAGTTAAATTAATGGCACTTTCGTGTTGTACAGATATTAACCATACAAGATCCTGGTTTTATTTCTATGATCCTGGCAGTTACTTCTCTTTAAGCCATAAATCCTTAATTACGTAATTCGTGTCTTCTACACTGGCCTTTTTTTACCCCCTTGGTATATTTTATCATGATGCTGTGAATTACCTGAATACTAATTGAATTCAGATGAAGAAAAACATTGATGTTCAATATAACTTCAATTATTTTCGTGTTGGTACTACTCAGCTGCTACAGAAGAGCTTTCCGTGAGTGTACCATCCTTGGTTATTTCCTTTTTCTGCGTCACCGAATCTCAGCTGACTCACAGGAAGAGCCAACTTGTCTGTCAACAAGCCTCTGTCAGCTGTCCTCTAGTTCGTTTCCATCTATATTCGCGTTACAATTGCACGACTTGTCAGAACTGTGACAAGTATCATTCATTTCGCATGCACATTACCACTTCCTGGGAATGCTCCACCCGAGTAGTTCATCTTTGTGCGGTTACGTGACACCCACCAGCCCCGACCAGACAATCTGGAGCCATCACATTCATATGTAACAAATTGCTCACAATGATTTAACGTGGCAGCGAGGCTTCTCAACTGCAGCAGACATGGCATTTCACGTGAATAACTCCCCAGATCATCACACCCTTTGACACTAGTTCTCTTCTCGCTGTCGTGACTTCCAACTGTCACGCTAACTCCATCCTTGTCTGTCGAGTTACATTAAACCGAGAAAGGTGTCACTCCACTTAGATATCCAGGAGCGATAATATACAAACCGCTGAGAGCTGAGGAGTTAGGAGCCTTCCATTCACTGCAGGATGATTCTTAGAAAAATGAAAAGACGGTAACAGGTAAATTTTTCAACGAACAGATTGCAAGTTGCCGTACATCTGTTCAGTCATAGATAACAGATGACGTCAAATTGTGGTAAGAGGCAAAAAGTTGCGCATAGGGGGAAGTGAAGCACATTGTCGTCCTCTGTAATCTATCGCTAAAAAGACTAAAGGCAACTTGGAATCTGTTCACTTAATGAAATTAGAGAAGTGAGAAAGAGCTGCTGTAATACTCCTTCAGCTTAAGTCTTTCTGTTATACGCAGTGATTGGCCAGATTTGATGGCGGCTGACATCACAACAATTCATGGGAAAAATCACACACGAGGGATTAATTATCGTGTCAGCGGGCTGCTCATATGAGATGGATATAAGCCACGTGCGTAGAGACTTTGGAATCCATAATGTTGTCTCAGTTCTTGAGGAGCTTCAAGTTTGTTTAAAAAATCTGAACGTGGGAAGATATGTTTTCCTTTTTTGATTAGTTAAGAGACTCCGTAACAGTAGAGCTTTCCGAGAGTGTGCCATCCTTGTTCACCCGTACCGCCTGTGTCGCCGAATCTCAACTGACTCACAGGAAGAGCTGTCTTGTCTGTTAACAAGCCGCTGTCCTCTAGCATTACGTCTGGTATATTTGCGTTACAATTGCACGGCTTTGTCGAATCGTAACAAGTCTTATTCATTCCGCATGCACATTTACCACTTCCTGGAGCTGCTCCACCCCAGTAATTCATCTTGATACCATTGTGTGACACCCACCAGCCCCGAAAAAGCAAGCTGGAATCAACACACTCATATTTGATAAATTGTTCACAATGGCTTGACAAAGCAGCGAGGCTTGACAACTGTAGCAGACTGGCATTTAGATAGTGCACATCCCGTGAATAGCATCCATGAGGGTCACAACCGTTTACAAGGGTTCTCTTCTCGCTATCGTGACCGATAACAGTCACGCCAACTCCATTTTTGTCAGTCATGTCACAGTAGACTAAGAAAGGTGTCAACCCTCTTTGATAGCCAGGAGAGATGAAATAAAACCCGCTCACAGATAAAGGTTTTAAAGCCTTCCATTCACTGCAAGATGTTTCTTAAAAGAATGAAGAGTAGTATCAGGTTAGAGTTTTTTTTAATTATTCCTTTTTTTTTTACAACATTTGGTACCTGACCTTATAATCTAGTCTAGGTCATAAACTTCTGTTTGTAATGATACTAGTAAAGTATGGGTTATAACATGATTTCGAGTGCAATTTGGTGTTAATAAGCACGAAAAATTTTCAAAGACAACAAAATTGCACGAGCCCGTAGGGCAAGTGCAATTTTTAGCCTTTGAAAAAGTGCTTATTATACCAAATTTCAAGAGAAATTATGTCATTACTTTTTAATAATGTACATGAAAAAACATCACAACAAGTCAAGGCAGACGAAATTTTGAAAACATGCGCGGCTATTTGTAATTTTGCACTCGTGCTACAACTTTCCACTCGTGTTGTAACTTTGCACTCGCGTTAAATGAGAATGCATTCGTTTTCAGCCAATCAGAAGCACGCAACTTTTTCATTTACATTTACATTCTTCTCAGAATTATTAAATCACTCGTAAAGTCTTGGGAATCACTCATCGCCTGTGTGCAGAGGCAGATGAGATTCATTAAGGGCAGCATAATTTTTTTGTTGAGACCATCATTTGTTCATTGACAAAAAATTTGTAAGAACTTACTATGTTGAGGCACGTTGCAAGTAGCACCCTCCCAAAACTTTGCGCAGACGCAGAGTGGTCGACCGTTTACGACAAAACATGTACCACCATTCAGACACGGAGAGGTCCGGCACTACAAATAAAAAAAAATATTGCAATTGTTAATAAGCCAATTGCAACGACTCAACTCAATATCTGCAAAGAACTATCCACTCACCCATCCCGCCCGGAATTTCCACTGTTCCCTCTTAATCACCTTTCTGCTCGATCGCTGATCTAGTATTTCACAGGGATAAAGTCTGGAGGCAGTTTGTGGCCCAAGATTGAAGCTGTCACACATTTCACTCAAGATACATTTCATTTGACATTCTTGATCACTTGTCACGTGGACAGTTGATATGACGCGGCCCTCAAGCACGTGATCAGTAACTAGTCTACTGAAACTGATTACTGAAGGGAAGCTGGAGCAGTCGTTACCTGTTTGAGATAAAAAGAGACGGAAAAAGAGCGGAAAGAAGATTTTTAGGGAAGTAAATTTTCTCGGATACTATGGAGTAAGACTTAACTAAATTTTGTTCAAACTGAATAAATAGGGGTTAATAAATGCATGAAGAAGCAGATCACTTACATGCTTATGATACATCTTAATTAATGGTTTAACATGTAATATGCCAGGATATTTTGCCCATCGCTCGCATTTCACTCGGTCTAGTCTAGAATTTCGGCCAAAAAGGAGGAGGGAGGGCGCTTAATTGAGAGGGGTGCCAGTAAGTATTCATTTCAACGGGTTGTAACTTTATTTTGGCTTTATCTTAGTCTCCTCTACTAACTATGTCTTAAATAAAAAAACAAAAACTACAACATTAGCTACGTGGACGTAAAGTAAATTTTTACATCTTTCGTTTGTTTAAACAAAGGAGAAAGACTCTCTTATTTGCTAAAAAAGACGACAGGGAATAAGCCAAGAGGTATGAGGACAATGTAATTGGAACTCACAAAGTAAAGCATGTTCATGGTGCTGATAGGTTAAAGCTTGTTGGTCGTAATCTAACTGACCTATCATTCCTTATCAACTGTTTTCTTCAAATGCATTCCAATAACTCTATTATCCTATACATTATTGGTCATCGAAGGCTAGAGAATGTCTGGTCATGCCAGTTAAGTTTACGGCATAAGCACAGCAGCAGGACAGAAATTAAAACAACAGATTAAGCAATAGAGGAACTCGGCAAGCACATGGAGATACAAATAAGTAGAAGAGAGAAAAAAGCAAAGAAACAATTTTTCTTTGCTGACTCCGCTGTAGTCAAAGGCTAAACTAAAGAGTGCTTATTGGGAGGGATGCGTTTATCAAAAGTTGAAATTTTGGCTCAGAGAGTGGGCGCTTATTCGGGGAAGGGCGCTTATTCGAGCTTGGGTGCTTATTCGAGGTAATACAGCATATTACCTGTTAAACATCGAATAAATAAGGTGTTTATATTTTGCGAGTTCTGTTGCGATGGTATGAAAAGATTACAAACGAAACACCTATATTCGAACATTATGAGAAATTTTTCCTTCAAATTGCGTAGGAAATTTCTTGAGTGAGTGGTAGTTTGATCTTACCCATTAATTATTAACCTCAAACTGTAATTTTGATCATTAGTTACTTCCAAACATCAATTTTGTGACTACCACTGAAATTTCAACACGCTACACAAAAAAAAAATGGGTATGCATCGTTTGAGCTTTACTTGGATCGAACTTCTAAAAACTTCCTGTTACCAAAAAAACACTGAAATTTAAACGAGTAAATGCGGCGATGAATTTATAAGAACTCGGATTAAGAGCTGGTCCGGGTTGTTCAAAGCTGGCTTAAGATATTCCAGGGTTAGTGTGAAATCTGATTTCAGATCTGACAGCTTTAAAACAAGATTCAGTCGAATTCTTTTTAAATAGAAAACGACTATTTGATGCTCTAAAAAGAACACAAGAAATTATCCCAAAAATGCTCTTGAATAAAGGAATGAAGAAACTCAGATTTCAATTTAATCTTGGGTCAGCGCTAACAAGCCTTCGAACAACTGGGCCATGGATATTAGCTTTGCTTCCTATGTTTAATAACTTGTGTGGAAAAAATGGCGTCATCAAGTATATAAATAGTTCGATGTTTATTTAAGTAATAGATCTCGAATTCATTAAGAGGGCTAGCCTAAATAAAGAGCCAAATGTATACTCATCAAAACTGTTGTTAATTTAAACCAAGATATCAACATTTATAATTAACATGAATGCTTGATTTGCCCTGTTGACGTGAGCATGAATTACGATTCGGAAAAAAAATGAAGAAAAAAAAATTACAAGTCGAACATGTCAAGCGAACACTTGTCAGTCTACTACGGTTCTTAAGTTTCCTCCCCGTCAGACCATACTGCTTATGATTCTGAGGCCGAGCTAACTAGCATTTAAAGTCTAATTCACTTACCAACTTGGGAAAATGCATGTAAGAAATGAGGCATTCTCAACAGGAACATTACAGATGCTACTTTAACTTCAAGAGTGATCATGTCTTCATGTCTTTTAAAGTCTGAGAAAAAGTGTTAAAGAAACATTGGACGCACAAGAAGCTGAAATGAAACTCGGGCGTTCATTATTAATAAATGCCAATTTAATTGTCATAACATCGGTGAAGTGATGTTTTGCAAAAATACGAATAAATTATAACCATGGCTATGATGAGAGAAATAGATGTTAGTTGATCTACCGATCACTGCGAGTATTCTTCCCTCTCTCTAAAATAAATATATATCTTCTGAACTCTTACTCTACTCAATCCCGAACTGCAAGCGCAAATCCCATGAACATTTCGAGTTGGTTCAGCTGGTAGAGCTCTTTCATGGGAGATCAATGGGTCAAGTCCCACCACTCTGCAGTTTCACAACCCTCGAGGTTTGGTCACGTGGTGGGAGAAATGAACGGATCTTTGAGGTAAACTAAGTTCTAATCTGCTATGCTCAAACGAACATAAATTCTCCCCCTCCCCCTTTATGTACTGTTAATACAACACACATCGATGCCGTAAATAAAGATGTACTTGGAGTACCAATTTGCATCGTACATTGGCTGTGAATAAAACCTTCGAAAAGTCTTAAATTCAAAGAAAAATAACCGACAAATTCACGATTCAAGAGACTCAAATGACTTCACGCAGCTCTTAAAAAAAAAAGAGGTCTGCAAATGTGTGCGCGTCAATCCCAATGCCAAGTTCAAGGTCTCTAAATTACCACATTGGTTGATTGATCAGACCACTGGCGTCGTGCATTAATACCGAAAACATACGCTGGTAGGAGGAAAAGAAAAAAAAATGATAATGACTAAAACACCGCACGAGTACTACGAGTGACATACGAATAACATACGGATACATACGATTACATACGGTGTTATGAGTAATTGTTGATATAAATATAAGCTTCTAGAAATCTCCAGACTGCTTAGTCTCATGCTGACATTCGTACCATAGAAATTTCTCGAACATTTCATCAAGTCACACAGTTATTACGTAATACAACTTAAATAGTTCTTTTGTAAGCTTCTGGAATGTTTCAGAACACTTTGCAAATGTATATAAGGACTGTTGTGGGAGTGACCGACTGTTTAGAAAGCTATACCGTGAGAGAGAGCTACAGTGGAAGATTGCTAATTTCAAGAAACGTTGGAGTGGTGAGCTAATTAAGATATAGACTGTAGAGGGCTTGAGTAAGTTTATCAAGCATGAGTACTGTACTACCTTTAGGAGTCGCTCTCTCTTCCGTAGAAGATACTCGTCGTTTAATAAAGTAGTTGAATTTGTAGGATTGTAGTGTTTTTCTGTCGGTTAGATTATACCGTAACATGGGATACATACAAGTGACATACAAACACATACGAGTACATACGGGTTAAAATTTGTTATTTGTTTTTTCTTGACGCTGCAACAGATTCTCCAGTACTGGTTGTATGTGAACTTTTTATACAAAGACATGCTAGCTCTAAGTTTAACTAAGGAGGATTTATTGCTTTTGTGATGGGATCGCTAACGCTTAACATTTTGGCCATTTTACGGCTAACCTTAACTTGGTGATTAAAAGAAAGTTTTTTACCGTTAACTTTTTTTAAGATTGTCATTCTGTTTAGATTGTTTAGATATAATAGTCTGCGTCAGGTTTTGGGTCATTAAAAGTGCAAAAAAAGGAACAAAACAAAGTTCTTAGAGTTGTGGTTTGGAGTCCTTTCCAATTAAAATAAATCTTCCATGCCTCATGGTGTTTGCTCCAAGTCGTCTGTTAGGTGTTGTAAAGCACATCTTACAGCTTGCTGTGACTCCAAGTCTCCTCCCCCGTCATCTTCACCGCTACTCCTCCAGATCATCGGCTCATTTTGCAATATTTGTTACAATTAAAGTACGTAATTTAAATTTATTTTCTTTGTTGCAGTAAAGATTGTTTTGTCATCATTTTTATTTTATCGCGCTTTGATACAAAACCATGTTAATACACGAAACGTAAAAAAATAAATAAATAAATAAAATAATCCTCGCTGATTGGCTCAGAAGAGTGCAGTTTTCAGGTGACACAATGCAGGAGAGGCATCCCAGTATCAGAAAGAGTTAATTTAGTGCAAAAGAAAACTAATAAATAAATAAAAAATTAAAAACTGTTTGGCCTGGTAGTGAACCTTTTTGTAAAAAACAATGGGAAAAAAATGTTTGATCAAGAACAAAAGATGAAAATTTGAAAACACAAAACAAAAGACAAGGAAATATACACTGCCACTACAATTGGTCGCAATGATAAATTCATTCACGATGACATTTACATGACTGAACTTCATTATTTCTCCGATCTTTGCCTCATCACAATTGTTAACAGCGGTGTTAAAATTTTTTGATGCTTGCTATCAATAAGTAATCACATGATTGTGCGAGTGCAGTTTGGAGCAAATACAATTTCCCGAAGACTGCTGATGTCAGCCTCCGAAAAAAAGTAGCAATTGCTTCTTTATTGCAATTTGCAGTTGAAATCACTGGGCTACCTGTGCAAATTGTCTTTACTCAAACTATATGTTGTCGACCCACTTTCGTATTCAACATCCGGCCTACTTTGAAACCAATGGTGATCCTTGCTATTTGACTGGCTCTTTTTTGCTATAAATCACATCCTTTTCCCAGCTCACGAGAAACAAACTCTCGTTATGAGCGTTATTTAAAATAGGGGCAAAAGTCACCTTTCGGTGCGACGAGGATGGGATTCGAACCCACGCGTGCAGAGCACAATGGATTAGCAGTCCATCGCCTTAACCACTCGGCCACCTCGTCATGTGATTTAACTCTGTACGATACTAGGGTGGAGAACATCGTAGAGGCTGCCCGTGTCTACCCACCCCTGGTCAGTGAATCAGTGTATCAGTGCGAGGCTAATTAGGAGGAAGAAAGCCATCTTGGATATCATCAATACGTTTGTAGTATTCCACTTTCAAAATGGTATGTATCTCAAAGTGAGAACCGAAATTTGCACCGGCTTTTATTGAATTGTTTCACCGTTGTGATTCCGCTCTTTATTCACAGAGCTTTTTTGGATTCGGCCAATCTGCCGAAGTGGAAATTCAGCTGTCTAACTCCGCAAACCGTAAGCAAGTAGACGTGAAGAACGAAGACGGGAAAAAAGAGAGACTGTTTTTGTACTATGACGGGGAAACCGTATCTGGCAAGGTAAAAGCTGTACAGCAATCTGCTGATTTGCTTATTGTTGTAACATGATGTTGATCTGAACCATCTACAGGAACTGACCTGTAGCTGCCGTGGTTGAAATCACATGTGAATCGTGACAAGATCAGAAACTGCTCAGTTCCTGCGGGCAAGTGGGTTTAACGATCCCAAGTGTTCTAAAATCACAAAAACCGTTTCTTTCGTTCGATTTACTCAAGATGAAAGCTCTGATAATCGATGAAATGACAAATCACCGTCTTTCTAATGTGATTTGCATGTTATTAGACTGTATGTCTATATCGAAAATGCTATTTAAACCGTGATTAAAAGGTGCATGCTTTCCCCTATAGCCAGATTGTCTGCTAGGTTGTATTTTAATTGCTTTCTTATATAAGCGCTTAAGATCTTATCATTAATTTGTCTATTATTTCTAACAAACCATTGTGGTTTAGAGAGTTGCTAAAGTCTAGATGTTTGACCATTGGGATTGAGTAGGCTGAGCTGGCAGTTTATGAAGGGGGAGGAGTGGGTTGATGTATGCCCTTGTTTTGTGTGTACTTCACATATGTGTAAGTCTCCAAAGCGAGTGATTCCCATACAGCAAGAGGCAGTTTTTGCAGCATTTGTGTGAGGCATAGTGAAGGAGTTGAACTTGGCACTAGATGTACAAACTTAAGGAAAAAAACAAGTTAACTGGCAGAGTTAATGTTACGATAATTGAAGTGCTTGATTCTAATATAGCACCTCAAACCATATAAGTATGCTGCTTCCAACTGTTTCTTTTCCTTTTCCTCTGAAAAATTATTGAATGGGATGTTTGCAAAAACATTATGATCCTCGACAGGTCAGCAGGCATTGAGTAAGCTGTTTTGCTCATGGTGTTCTGAATGCAAGGATTTCCCTTTGCAATTGAAAGAGGATGATGAATTCTTGTTTATGATTTTCTGAACAGGTGAATGTCAATTTAAAAGTCCCTGGAAAGAAACTGGAACATCATGGTATAAAGATAGAGTTTGTTGGACAAATAGGTGAGACATACTTTTTGTAGTTATTGCTCTACAGACCTTTAGATAATTTTAGTCATCTAAAAGTATTTACACAATCATCAAAAGCTTACATGCATATATGTAACCTTTTCCACCCAAACATCGGCATGCATATTCTCCATGTACTGTTCTCTATACATTTCTTAGGGTGCTGACAAAATGAATTTGTCAAATAATCATGAGTTTCTTTAGTTGTTTATCATTTCCCTTATTCTTTGGACCTTAATGTTTGATTCAGCCGTGATGCTGTAAGAAGAAATAAATGCTAGTCACTCTTAGGGATGAGAGGGTTAATCTCAGGGAGATTTTTACCTCAAGAAGGTATACATGCAAGTAATTGCAAGGGGGGTTTATTGCCAGTTTTGTTGCAAGTTTATTGCAAGTTTATTGCTAGTTTATTGCTTGGTAGTGACTAAATTTTTGGCCAATTGCCAGTGGGTAATCTGAGTGTTAATTAACCTCTAACATCTAATGCTTAAAGTTTGTCAAGTAAATCAGGAAATCTGCCATGTGGGCAAATGGCCAGAAATTATGGTAAACCTGTGTTTGAATTTTTTGTATGAATAATGATGTAATTTCAGCACCAACAATCAGTTGATACATATAGGTTTACTTATTTTATAGATTTCAGATATTGCTCACAGTAAATACAGGTGTCAGGCTTTACCATGGTTATTTACATTTCTTCTTCTACTACATCACATAATGTCAAGCTTTACATTAGACTTCTTTCAGTAGTACTTGCAGCTATATGTAGTTTTTTTCTCTGTGTCCTTATTCAAGACAAGGTTCTTTTGGATCAAAAGTGATAAAAATAATTCCCAGTTATGTGTGCATACATTCATACAGGATGTGAGCTCAGCTGGTCACATTTCCATTTCAGAGCTTTTTTATGATCGTGGAAATCACCATGAATTCACTTCATTGGTCCGAGATTTAGCACGGCCTGGTGAATTGACACAGAGTGAGACCTATGATTTTGAGTTTGTTAATGTGGAGAAGCCTTATGAGACGTACACTGGAGCAAATGTCAGACTAAGGTAATTACATGCACTGTGTGTACATGCATTGTATATTGTGTGTTTTGTATCGCATTATATTGTGTTCCTAGCTTGGAATTAATACAAGATCTACACTATATAAAAATTATTTGTTTTTCATTTTTTAGAAATTGAAAAAAAATAAACACAGTGTCATTTGTATTTTTTATTATTGAATACATTCAGATATTTTCTTCGTGTGTCTGTGGTCAGAAGAATCAGTGACATATCCAAAGAACTTGATCTTGCTGTCCATACCTTGTCAAGTTTTCCTGAAATGAACAATAGGTATATACAAAGTTTGTTTTATTTTTTACTTTTTAATGATTTATGGAAATCTTGCAAAATGCCTAGTCCAGGAGTAGCATGCTCCAGAAATCATTTAATTTTTTATCTCCACATCTGTCACAGACCTGATTACATAGATTAACCTTGTAACTGTTCACCAGTTTTAGTTTTTATTGAGTTTAGATCAATGTAACTTGTGATAGTGGTTTTAAAAAGTCTTTTAACTCTTTAACTTCCAAGATCTTGTTAATAATTATTATCCTTCCCTGTAGCTGCTACATGTCAAATTTGTTACAAGAATTTGATGTCAGATCAAGATAATAACTTCAATATATGATAAGTTTGAGTATTCTCATTGCCTTTTAACGGATATTATGGGAAGAAGTTACTTGCTAGTCACATCTGGGAGTTAAATGGTTAAAATAGAAATTATTTGTAACATGGGGTCTATTTTCTTTTTCCAACAGCATCAAAATGGAAGTTGGCATTGAGGACTGTTTGCACATAGAGTTTGAATACAACAAATCAAAGTATGTACATGCAGCATTTTCATATAATGTATGTATATAAAATGAGTGAACCTTAACTCAGTATCATAAAGTATTGAATTTATAACATGGTTTCTTGGTGTACCAGAGAAACTGCAATTCTGAGAAATTTTTGTCTAGAAAACAGCATGCTTCAGAGTCGCTGTTCAGTGCATTATTGGATTTGGATTTATAAGCTAGCTGTAATCCTTACAAAGTGCAGGCATGAGAAACTTGAAGTTAAAAGTTACCTTTGAAGTCACCCCAAAAAATGACATTTTTCTTGAATTTTACTGAAAAAACTGTTTCAAGGTCATCAAACAATTTGGCTCTAGGCATATTGAGATGATGAGTGGCTAATTTTGATTATCAGTAGTATTTGGAATTTTTCACTGTTTTATGCAGAAAATGCTGAAATGGTAAGGAGGATGTGGAAATTATAGTTTTATTTGGATGTGCAACTTCATAGATCATACAGGTTTACCCTGTTTCATTTCCCCTCATTAAGCAAATTTCAATTCTCTAGATACCACTTAAAAGATGTGATTGTGGGAAAAATCTACTTCCTGCTTGTGCGCATAAAGATCAAACACATGGAGTTAGCAATTATCAAAAGAGAGACAACTGGAACAGGTGAGCAATTGAATGCTTGTATATACAGATTTAGCATCTTTCATACAAGAGTGAGCAAGCCCTCTTTGCCATAGAAAACAGAAGCACTCTTTCAAACAGGTTCTGTTGACCATCTTATTTTCATACATGTACAATCATGTAATTATTTATTTATTGGATTATTTATTGATCCTTAATTAATTGACAGCTGAAGCCTGTTATTTTGAACCATCAATACAGAATACAATTGTAAAGAATGATCCTGTTATTTGGGATGATCAATTACAAAATTGCCAATAATTACTTTGATTGACATTGGCTTAATTTATGGTTTGTCAGGACCATTGAAAAGTAGCTTTAGAGTTAACTGGCTTCTGCAGCAGTAGTATTTGAATAATTTTCCTCAGTTTCATGTATACCTTCAATATGATTTTCATGGTATATTATCCACATTACTTAACCAAAGTAATGTTATTTTTCATCAGGTCCCAATACTTATAATGAAAATGAAACAATTGCAAAGTATGAGATCATGGATGGAGCACCTGTGCGAGGTTTGTTTTGTTTTGATAATTTTCTTCTGTTGTGTTTGAACAGACAAAAGGTCTTACTCACTCACTGAAAAGTAATAATGTACTCTGTAAATAGAAAGAATGTTTTGGTTTTGCAGTGTTGTGATGTTGGTGAGTTTCCAAAAACAAGTGCTAACCACACTGTCTTGTCCAAAGAGAAGCAGTGTTTTAGCAGTTTAGTATTTTGATAATGTTGGCAACCAGAATTTTGTTTCTGTTGATCACTTTCATTATTTGGGGTTGCCAGATCGCATTTTTGAAAACAATTGAGTTTGGAACCTAACACTGGTTTACAAGAACTTTGAAAATGGTAATTAAACTAATAATTTGATGTACTATTGTATGTAAGTGTGTCATTAATGTGACAGTCATATGTTTGCATTTCTTTTTGCAGGAGAGTCCATTCCAATCCGGCTATTCTTGGCAGGTTATGAGCTGACGCCAACCTTCAAAGATGTCAACAAGAAGTTTTCTGTGCGGTACTTCTTAAATCTTGTCCTTGTTGATGAAGAGGAAAGAAGATACTTCAAACAACAGGTATAAACAGCAGCATGTGCATGTGATTGCTCCATAAGCAAAATGCATCTTGCATAATTTCAGGTATTTTTATCAGGGAGGATGCTTACAAATATGATGATGCTTTGTACTTCTGTAACAGAAATTCTAGGTAGTAAGCTTTGCAGCGAGTGTTACTGTGGTATTGACTTCATAAGTTTTCTATGAATTAAAGATTGAAATTACTGAAAGAGGTGGTGATTAGTAAATAAAATGTAAATGTAATATATTGTGTAGGTTGTGGCATTGTTAAAGCCACTTTGTCAGTCTTCTCTTTAATTTGTGTTTTCGTTTTTGTGTATGTTGTAGGAAATTGTACTGTGGAGAAAAGGAGACTTGAAGAAAAAGCCTGGCATCTTAACAGAGAAACTGAAGCACTCAAGAGAAGAGAGCAAGCCAGAAGATACGGAGGAGTAAACTGGAAATATTCAATGCATAGAGCCCCATGTATATGATATATAGAGTATAAGGAGTATTCTATACAGTGTTCAATGACTGTCTTTGCCAACACAATTTGAAAAGACGCTTTTTCCTGGTAATCTACCAATGACAAACTGTAAATCGATTCTCTTTTATAATGAGGAAGAAAGCATTTTACTGATGCATGCAAATATTATTTGGCAAATATGTAACACTTAATCAAAAACAAATAGATTCTAGTATCTTTTTTTTTAAATTTTTTGTTAATCGTCTATAGTCTTACTCCTTACTGTTTACTATTTTTGTAAGCCCATTGTTTTCCTTCAGTTCGAAGCAATCATTCTTCATTGCAGAGGTCAATAAAAGTATTGAAGTAAATGGCCAGATTTGTAATAAACATACTTATTGCTGACCATTTACCCTTAACACCCTAACATCAGGATGCACATTCTCCATTCTGTTCTCTCTACATTTATAATAAACATACTTATTGCTGACCATTTACCCTTAACACCCTAACATCAGGATGCACATTCTCCATTCTGTTCTCTCTACATTTGTAATAAACATACTTATTGCTGACCATTTACCCTTAACACCCTAACATCAGGATGCACATTCTCCATTCTGTTCTCTCTACATTCCCCAACGCGCGGACTGTCAAGAATTTCTATGGTTGTTGATAATTCTTTTTTCTTGTGACCTTTTTCAGGGGTGTTATTTCTAAGGATGAATAAGATGCTACTCATGCACTCTTAGGGGTCAAAGGATAAAAAGCCACAATCAAAATACTCTTATAGCAAGGATCTTAGTAATCTCTTCACTCCACTGAGAGACACCTCGGGAAGGGAGTCCTACTAGGAGTGTGGAGGCAAGGTCTGAAACTTTACACCTTAAGCTTTTGGCTGCATTGTGAGGATGTTAATAGATTCACAACCATCTACTTATCCCTGGCCTTACATGGAGTTAACTCGTCGGAACTTTTGAATTACGCATGAGCTTGGTTCCAGGCCCTGTGAGGCATTTTTGAAAGCATAATTTTTCTGGGAGGGTTCATTTTCAACTGTGGTTTAGATTTTTGAATGAAGTTCAGTTTGAAAACATTATAAATGTTGTCTAATCAGTTGTGCTAATTTTGAGGTCAATTCGAAAGGAGATTGCATTAGGAAATTTACGAAAATTGAAGACCTTTTTAAATTGGGGAACTTCGATTCCTTATTTTGACCTTGGACTTACCCAAGAATCATAGATGTTTAACCACAACAAATATGCCCCCTCCTGAATAAACTCCCAATCATTAGAATGAATAAACGGCTCCTCAAAAATCATTATCACTAATCTATTCATGATTCCTTAATAGCAATTAAAATTTCAAGTGTTATATTAGAACATCAAGCATCTTTTTTAATCGTTGAGAGGCAACGGCTTTAAACTCTTGACCCCTATCCATCGGATAGTGAGGCTCTATGAGTAGGTAAATGTACTAAAAGGGAGAATTTCCACATATAATAAGTAATTTGACATAAATAAAAGGTTAAGTTGCACTTTACCAGCCTCAAAATGTGTTATTAGTCTTAAGGCGTCCATTTTTAAGACAAATGAATAAAGGGGTAAGTTTTTAAAGAAACTGTGGTGCTGCGTCGGTAGGAGAGTATAGCAGGTAATTTAGTGTTAACAACTGAGTTGAAAACGTAAATTAGCCACCGTAAAGGGTAAAAAAGCTGACGTTTCGAGCGTTAGCCCTTCGTCAGAGCGATTGGAGGAATTGTGGGTTGTGTGTGGGTTTATATACAGAAAGTGGAGCTACGCCTTTGGTGGGAATATGGTGACAAGAAAACAGGAATAAATTAGTTGACTGAAAAGCGCTCGTTGATTCCGTGGGGATTAAGGATGCCGATTTAGAAGATAATTTTTTGTTCTAGTATTTTACGGCTTTCCGAACTGCCTAGATGTAAGGAAAGGCCGCAAACTGCCATATGCTGTTCAGAATGATTAGGAAGATTAAAGTGTCGAGCGACTGGTTTGGATGCGTCCTTGTCATTTCTGTCCACGTCGCGAAGGTGTTCTCGGAATCGGTCACTTAGTCGTCTTCCTGTTTCGCCGATGTATAACTTATTCCAATAAGTGCAAGTTATGCAGCAAATAACATTGGCGGAGGTACACGTAAAGTGATCAATGATCTTAATGGATCTCTTGGGTCCCGATATTTTATCTACGTTATGAATGAAAGAACAAGTTTTGCATCGTGAGCGAGCGCATTTGAAAGTTCCAGATTGGTCATTGGTTTGAAATGAACTCCTGACTAAAAAGTTGCCTATGTTTTTGTCACGTTTGAATGAAATAAGTGGGGGTTGCGAAAAGATAGTGCCAGTCTCTGAATCGTTTTGGGGTAATTTAAAATTTTTAAGAATGATAGATTTAACTGTGTGGTTGTGAGGGTGAAATGTAAGAGTAAATGGAATGCGGTCAGTGTTGTCCTTCTCAGTCGTTTGTAGTGCTGACTGTCGATCAATTTGTTGGACACGGTGGTGGCCCGCTTGAACGACAGAGACAGGATAACCACGTTTATCGAAAAACTGGCACATTGCCTCTGATTTTTCGGAAAAATCAGAGTCGTCACTACATAAACGACGAAGTCTGAGAAACTGTGAAAAAGGTATGGAGTTCTTGACGTGTGATGATGTGATGGATGTGAAGATGAATATAACAAGTAACTACGTGAAACTGTAGGTTTGTAGTAAACACTGGTGCATAAAACGTTGCCTTCAATTGAAATTTGAAGAAGTGTCGGAAATTTCCCAGGTATATTTAAGAGCCGGATGAAAGGAAATGACGGCGGTTATAAATTGAGTGAGCTCCTCTTTGGTTGAGAAGGTAGCGCCGTTCCAATCGTCTAGTTCATCGCGTTCCGTGTGCAAAATCTCGGGAGAAACTATAAGAATTCTTTCAGTGTATGCATGTTGTTTTGTATTTCAACTTGTTTGTGTGTCCTTTTAAGAAACGCGATATGTCTGTAATGACTAGAGTGCCAAACTATATTCTTTAATTTTGATCTTCTCCACACTGTGCGTAGTTCATGGCCTGTTATTTCAACAAAGATTATCCGTTTTCAAAATTCCATACGAAAACGAAAAAGGAAAAAGGAAAAAGGAAAAAGGAAAAAGGAAAAAGGAAAAAGGAAAAAGGAAAAAGGAAAAAGGAAAAAGGAAAAAGGAAAAAGGAAAAAGGAAAAAGGAAAAAGGAAAAAGGAAAAAGGAAAAAGGAAAAAGGAAAAAGGAAAAAGGAAAAAGTAAAAAGGAAAAAGGAAAAAGGAAAAAGGAAAAAGGAAAAAGGAAAAAGGAAAAAGGAAAAAGGAAAAAGGAAAAAGGAAAAAGGAAAAAGGAAAAAGGAAAAAGGAAAAAGGAAAAAGGAAAAAGGAAAAAGGAAAAAGGAAAAAGGAAAAAGGAAAAAGGAACAAGGAAAAAGGAAAAAGGAAAAAGGAAAAAGGAAAAAGGAAAAAGGAAAAAGGAAAAAGGAAAAAGGAAAAAGGAAAAAGGAAAAAGGAAAAAGGAAAAAGGAAAAAGGAAAAAGGAAAAAGGAAAAAGGAAAAAGGAAAAACGAAAAAGGAAAAAGGAAACAGGAAAAAGGAAAAAGGAAAAAGGAAAAAGGAAAAAGGAAAAAGGAAAAAGGAAAAAGGAAAAAGGAAAAAGGAAAAAGGAAAAAGGAAAAAGGAAAAAGGAAAAAGGAAAAAGGAAAAAGGAAATTAAAATCCGTTAAATCAAAAGTTACAAAAAGGAAAAACGGAGAGCACAAAGTGAATTCGAATTTCGTTTCCTTCCCGGCGGGGAAAAAATGGAAAACGAAAATGGAAGTCCAATTTCGTTTTTTTGCTGCAAAGAAAAACGAAAAACGAAAATAAAATTTGTGTTTTCATTTTCCTATACTACTGAAAATCGGTTGGCACTAAGGTATATGGATTAGCATGGCTTTTATTCTTACCGAGACATGTCTGCAATCGATTTTTTAACTCGACTTTCAGCTTTGGTAAAAAAACTTTGATGTAAAAATATAAAATGCTAATTAGCTACAGTATCTTCCTTTAACAGTGGTCCTTGTAAGATGATCTGAGACCTTACTACTTCCCTTGGCTTTATTGGGAAAAGGTTTGACAAAATGTCATCCAAGTCTGTTGCACTAATAATGGACTTTTGGCTCACAAATTAAAACTAATATTTCCATCTTGCATAAAACGCATTTAATCAATTATTCCGACCTGTTTAGGCCTCAAATGTACTTTTTGCCATCTAATTGCTGCGCGTTGTTATCTGGAGTAATCGCCGGCAAACCTTCTAATCCAAGGGTATGAGGGTTTTTTTAATTTCAAAACTTCTTAGGCTATTTATTTATTTACTAACTTGTAAATGTGGCCATGGAGGGTTAGAGAAAAATTCCTCTCAAGCAATCGTTCTTTGAAAGTTGGAGTTCTCAGTCATTTATTTTAGCTTTTAGTTTTTAAAATACTTCCCACGGCCATATCTATCGCATAAGGTTATGCCAAAAAAGAAAACAGCGGAAACATTTGTTGATTTACTGAATCAGGTGTTAAAGACGGAAGTCAAAGTATGGGTCGTTAAGTGCAACCGTTTTCATTGCTCTGCTTTCCGTCCCCTGTTCTTGAGCGCAACTGGCCGTGGTATATTTTGTCCCATTTCGTTGCCCTGATAAGAAAAAATGGCGTAACAATAAGAAGAGCAAGAAGATGTTGAACGGGACGATATTTCAAAGAGGAATAAAATAGTCTGGTAAGATTTTCCTTTGCCAGTGTATGGGCCATTAGATTGGCATAAAGTGATCGAGCTGTGTTTCATTTTTCAAGAATCAGACTGTTCTTGGAGTTTTAATTTTTCTTTCGTATTTTAAAAAAATTGAAAAATATATTATATACATATTTTATATATGTGCATTTAATTTTTTTTTTGCTTTCTTCTCTTTTCTCCTTTTTTTCGATAGGCAGCTGCAGTCAGAATACACTCCTTTAATAGGTTAGCTTTACTTGGGAAATATTTACACAAAAGCTTTCAGGAAAAACGTTGTTCATTAGCGTTTTCGATTCATAATTAATCGGCCGATTATCAGAACGATGAAGTTTTCGATTCACTGCTTTGTTTTTGTTTCCTTTGTTTCTTACATGGCGATAAACTCAAAGAGCCAAATATGTCCGTTAATCATCACATTTACATGAAATACAGAGAATTTTTTCCTTGCC